GATATAATCAAATTTAGCTATTAAATAGATAACCGAATACAGCAGAAGAATATGAAGTTTTCAGAAAATAAAACACCGCCCGACGTTCTGGGATAACTACCACGAATGGCAGCTTTTTGATCCCATCGGTAAATGCTGTATTTTGCATAACGGATCTACACCGGGAAAATAGCTTGCGAAGTAAGTAACATTTTATTTAGTTTATGCCAATATTGCGGTGGTGTAAGACAGATGGAAGTCCTTAGAGTGAAATATACTGCAACAATGTACCACCATTTCAGTTCAGTACCCTACGGTAGAACATGTATGCAGGTCATGGCTCTATGTTATTTTAGTGCCTGTAATCCATAATGCAAGGTTATGTACGGTTGAACTTAGACATGTTCAAGCAAAACGAAACTCTACCCTTACCCGTGGACAAATATAAAGGAAGTACAATAACTTACCATCTGAATTGTGAAGCAATTGTCACGAATGGCAGACTTTGATCCCGCCGTAAACGTCATATATCAAATACTAACACTAGATTTACACGGTGAAAATGTACCGTGTAAAGTTAGGAAAACGAGTCAAATCGATGTAAATGCTTATTGTCCGAAGAACAAATCTCTTTACTTGTCAACAGGGGTCAAGGCGTCGAAGAGTGAGGAAACCATCGCAAAGCACTAACACTTGAAGTAGTCTGCATTTTTTTTAAATTAACTGTAATCCAAATGTGAACCATGAGTGTAGGCTCATGCCCCGAATTGTTACATTAAAATGGTAAATGACTCCTGTGAGTTTAAATATGAAGAACGCCCGGGCCTAGAGAGCTTTTAGAAAGCTGTTCAAGCTGTTCAAAGCTGGACTGATAAACTAGTAACTTTTGTTCAACAAGATCTGCCGGGTCAGTGCTATGATATGACAGGGAACAGTTTTTCGAACGAAAGAGCAAGAGCGACGGTTGAGCTGAGTACAGCAACGTTGCCGCTAATGCACAATGAGAGTCAAATGGCAGGACGACGTCAGGAAGCACTCCATTCTCTTCCGGGCAGAGGTGACCTCAGAATTTGTAGCGAATAAGACATAAGAGGTTAGCCCTGTTAGATCATTTGATTGAGCATGGACTCTAGCCCATGAGCATGCTGTGTTGCAGCTAAAGCACTGCATACATAGACCAGGAGGTGTAACATGGAGAAACAGGATAGAAGCAGATCTGCTTGCGGAGAAGAATATTTCCTTCTATATTGCAGTAACTGGTGTCTTATAGCAAAAGTACTGTAGAGCTGTCAATGCAGTTGACACAACAGACCAGAGACGTTCTGCTTTCGCAAAGCGCTGAAGGTGATGAACTCAATATGCAAACAACTAGAGATTTCACGGCGTATTGCATCACCCCTTTTCTGTTGAACGTTTGCGCAGAATGCGATTTCACGGTGTCTGAATGTCTGCGATATCACCAAATGCACTTGGCATCATTTTAATGGTTATCCGGCTCATCGCCGGCTGTGTTTCAGATGCCGGTAATCGCTATAGCTTCAAAAGTAGTCAAAACCATCGGTTGCTACCTTGTATGGTGTAAGAGTGCATCAGTGACTGTGATCTTTCCATTTTAGACCACCAAGTTTATCCCGCGTTTTATTTTCAAACATCTCATTCAATTTCAAATTTATTCTTTACTGTGATATCCACCTATTCCTAGCCAGGACACTGGTACCAGTCTAAGATCATCGTAAAAATTTGGGTGGGAGAGGACGAAAGAGGGAGGCGATAACTACCACCTCATAAGTGGTTTTTTCCCTTAACATGCAAGAATGTTGTGGATGTTGCTTCGGAATCATAGTATAGTGCTTTCACAGTTCCTGATTCCTTATTTAATTGTTTACGTTAGTGATTTAGAAAAATCAGGAAGACGGACGGGGGACAGTGGTAAAGAGGCTGGCTTCAATTTCTAGAAATACAACGTTCGAGTATCGAGGAAAGACGGAAGACCTCTGTCTTAACTGCGAAAACCACCTAGCAAGAAATTTACCGAATGTTGCTGTGGTGCAACCGGCTGAAAAATAGGTGACGGGTTGGTGACTTGCGTGCTATTCTGATGTAGTCATATCGCAATTGGTGATAATGGGCAACACGGCGAGGGCGCTTTATGTGGCTGCACTTATTCCTTACTCACATGATAGCCGATTTTCACGTGATGGTAATCACGAGGCGCAACCCGAAAAATAATATATTTGCGGCTCATGCACGAGGAAGAAAAATGAACCTATAACTTTTATGCGAACAAACGGTGTTATGGGGCAGTAAACTGAAACTTGCGCTGTCCAATGCATCAGAAAATGAAATGACCACTTGGTTACATGGCCCAACCTTGCATGATCCCTATCAGTCACTGAAACACTTGAGTCTCTGAAGCTGTGTCCTTCTAAAATTACTCGATATACGATGTCTGGGCGTTTGTCATAACTGTCGTGGATCGCATAAGTTGATCAATAACTTAATTGCCACAATTATTATTAATTCTATCTGAGTCATTGCGATTTATCATATAAGCTGTTTTCAGATATACATTTAGATTGCTTGGAAGAGCTTTCTTGATCAGGTATATATTCAGGGTAATCCCTGCT